GGCTGAGGTAGCGCGGGAAGATGACGATCTTGACATAGTGGACTGTGACATAGTTTCAATGAGATATGAAATAAATGACAATGCATGCCTATAATATGCAATGCTTACACACACCAAAATTAACCTTTTGAAATTTTTAAATAAGGTTTTCTCAAATATTTTTGTTGAACATATTCCCATTATAATTAGCTCAAGCTTTGTATAAATCTTTTCTTAATTAAACATAGGTGATCAGGCTATGTTTAATCAAGGTCCAATAATACAACTCCCGACCTAATTATACTAGTAATATGTTTGATGTAAAAGAATTTCTTTGTAAGTTTTTATAGGTTGTGTTTTCTTAAAGAAAAACCGATGTTCTCTAAACTTTAGCTCTGATACCACTTCTGTCACACCCCGCTAAAGCGGAAACGCAAGGTATGACAGCGATAACGGTTTCATTGCAAAAGATAAAGATACATCACCATAGCAGTATTTAAAAGTTTACAACCCATAGCTTCAAAAGAACAAAATACAAGTTTTTCAAAATAACATTGTTCAAAATATAGCTTCATAATAGCTTCAACACGATGCAGCATGCTCTATGATGATGAATCTTTACATCCACTTACTAATTATTTCCTGAAAAAGCATGTAAACGAGCGTCAACTATGAAAATAGTTGGTGAGTATCACAAGTTTATAAAATCGAGCGTACAATAAGGCTTTTCGTAAATACAAGTACATTGCTTCAATGATAAACAAGTTGATTGCTATTAATGAATACAAGTTTATTGCTATAACGAGAAACGAGTTTGTATGTGTATGAGCAAACAATGAGTCTCAACCAAACCTATGACTGAAGCCCTATCGAGATCTATGCTTATCGTTCCATAGATGAATATGGTATCATGCACTCCAGCGATTCGGGCGAGTGAGGAGTTGTCAATTCCTAATAGCGCTATCCATAACGACCATTGGCTCAAAGAGTTAATGGTTAGAGATAAGGGAAGGGCCTTAGTACGATAAGTTCTCATGTTCCGTGTTGCATAGACATACATAAAGAAACATAGCAATACAATAGCAATCATGTTTGATACAATTCAATTTAAATACAACATGCAAACAATAGTTTTTCTGGACATGCTTTTCCACCCCAAAACATAAAAAACGAAAATAGGGGAGTGCGTGAATACTCACGATGTTTTGTGTAGACACAAGCGGTACTTCGGGATGCACCAACGTCTTACTACCGGGATCCTACGACACCAAACACACGCACTAGTGAGTTTCCATGTCGATATCTAATGCTAATATACTAAACTCTACATATAGGGAAATGCCAATTTATGTTTTAGTATTGGATTTATATCATTTTGTTACACTTTTTCTGATGTATTGAAATTTTACAAGTCGTGCGATTAATTACAACCTTGGAAGGTTAATTTTCCAAATTTTAAGTCTCAATAACAACATAAATTCACGAAAAATAGTATTCGAGGGATAAAAATTCTCAAACTTTTTATTTAACTGTTAATACACAATACTAAGCTGGGAAAATTATAAAAATGGATTTCCAAGCTGTTTAATTATATTTTATAATTTTTGAGCATTTATTTCAATAAAAATTGAAATAAATAGTAAACAGTTTCCAAAATTACCCAAACTTTTTATTTAATTGTTATTATACATAAATAGGCTGGGAAAAATATAAAATATATTTTTCAGTGGTTATTTGTATTTTTCCTTGTTTTATTTCTTTAAATAGTCATTAATTAAAGAAATATTATTAAACAGTTAAAATAAATTACCATAAATTTTTGTAACATCATTTACAGTATAAATATCTTGGGAAAAATATCAAAAGTGGTTTTCATAATGTATAAACTGGTTTTGGGTATTTATGTATATTTAAGTGAATTTTAGTGCAATTAACTTTAGAAAATAAGGGAAAAATAGTTTACAGTGGAGAAAAATATTCAAAATTTTTATGTAACCTCCTACTATATAATATGATATCCTGGCAAATTTTCATGAATTTTGGATAATCAGAACTATTTTTCCCATTTTTAAGCCATTATAATTACCAAAAATTGGGAAAAATAGCTAGACATGATGAAAAATCTTGAAATTATTTTCTTGAGTCACCCATCACAAGTAAGGTATGCGAAAATTGTTAGATAAAATTTTCACATCCTAAAAAGTGGTTTTGTAATTTATCATGTCCTAAATAAAAGAAAATTAGAAATCATATGAAACAGTAACAAAAATTGCTGAAATTTGGTGAGGGGTCATTATTCCCCATAAGTATCATCCATGAATTTATTTAGGATTTATTGACCTCTGGAAGTATTTTATATGATTTATGCCCTTGGTTTTAGCAATAATTCTAATAAATCAAATAAATAACAAAAGCTCTTGAAATTTTCCAGATTATCTCATGCATGCAAGGGCTTTCAAAAGTAAAAATGTTAAGAATGTATTCAGAAGAGAAATGAGGGTAATGATTCCAAACAATTTAAGAAAAGTTGCATGCAATAATGCATGAAGTGTAGATGTGGCTGAGGTTCATGAATTTTTGTAGCCCATTCAGTGAGGTTTTAAGCCACGAAATTTCAACCATAACTCACTAGATATGTTAAGTTTCTAAGGTATTTTTCCTAAGATTTATGGTTGGGTTTAAGACCATTGTTTAAGCAAGATAAAAATAGTGATCACAGAAAAAGAGCTGTATGCGCAACCTTTTTGTAAAATCTGCCAAAAATCGGATATTTAATATTTTACAGTAAGACCAGTTGGGTTTGAAAGTTAACTCGTGGAACTAACCAATACAAAAAGAATATCATGATTTGGTTAAAAAATGACTGAGTTATGACTGTTCAAAGTCGAACAAAATAATCTGGCAGATTGCATGTTTGCTTGTGTGCATTTTTAGGGTATTTCAATAAGAACATCATGCATGTCCTTGGTAAGGCCCGATTTCTAACACATGCATGGAATGAATGAGCATCCAAGATGTACTAGAAATGGTTTAATGCTTTCGTTCATGCATGAACACACAAGAAATGGAGAAGAACATGAAATATTATGTTTTGATGTCACATGATCATATGTGCTTCTTTTCCACTCCTTGCATGGGTTTGATCCCGGATTTTCACCATCTTTAACACATGCATTGTGTTATGGTGAGAATCTACAAACCACAAGGGGAGAATAAAGATTTCTAGCCATGGAAAGGCATAGAATCCGAAAAGTAGAGAAGACTAAGAAGAAAAAGAGGTTTAACCATGAAACTATGGAAGAAGATGTTGTTGTTTACCTTGGTTTTGATCTTGAGAGAAGTAAGAACACTTCAAGGGATTCAAAATCTGGAAATTTTGCAGAGGATTGAGAGGATTTTCGTGAGTTTAGAGAGAAGGAAGAAGAGAGTGAAGTGAGAGACTGAAGTGGAAGAGTGAAGTGGAAGAGGTGGAGTAAGGGTTTAGGGCTTGATGATTGTGTTTTGGGGAAGAGAGAGGGCATGGGGAGAGGTGATGGCCGGTTTTTGCATGCCTTTTGGCCTCCTCTCTCCTAAATTTTAAACTTTATAAACTTCCCTCCCATATTTTATATAAAAACATTCATTTTTATAAAATGTTTATTAAGCAATTTGATTTATTTAAAAATCTTGTTTTCAACAAATAATTTATGATTAATACTTGTAATTTATATTTCTAGTTCATTGGTATAATCCATAATTTGATTAATATAATTTGATACTAGGAAGTTTATAGCCAAATTTTATAAAGTTTTTAAGCTTTATATTTTATAACTTTGGATTTTTGGCTCTTTAGGGTTTTTGGAACATTGTTTGGTATTCAACAACATGTTGAAGTATAATTAGAGTGTTTTAATTTATTTTTAGAGTTTTATACCCTATTTCAATTATAACAAAGTTTGAAGCTTATTCTAATTATAGTATTGGCATTTCCTATTGTAGCTAAGCAACTTACTAGAATTGTAAGTATCAAGTATATTAGTCCTAGACCTTAGTTGGATCCTAGTTTATGCAAGATTTTTGACCTAATTTATACTACTAGGTCATGGCATGTTGTGCATGAATGGTTATTATAAAGATGCATGAGTCCAAGAATGACCTGAATTGACAGTTGTCACATTTTGTAGCCCAAAGCGAAGACTAGATAAGGCTTCTTTTTTCATTCTGTAGTGAAGTCCGAAAACTAAGAATCACTTTGTTTATTTCAGTAACATTTGTATCAAAAGATGTTTGAAATGAAGCCATAAAAGTCTCTTGATTAGAAGTAACTTATTTAACTTCAATGAGAATGGTTGAGACTTGCAAACATGCTTCTTCGACTAGTTTAGCAGAATCATCAACAAGCTTCTCATGTTGTGAAAGCTTTTACCATGTTCTTTAACCAACTTTTGAATTGTTTCATGATGAGAAGAGAGAAATTATTCATACTTTGAGTTAAAGAAAGTAGAAGAATGAGAAAGAATTTCATTTAACTTCTTATTCAGCTTACAAAAATCTCCTTTGGTCATTGGAACATCATCATCTTCATGATCACTCTCATCTAGAAACACAAATCAGTTGCAACGAATTCATCATTGGGTTTAAAATCATCTTTCATTAAAATTTATTCTTCACAATCATATTGGACAGGTGGAGTAGAGGTAATTTATGGAGTAGATACATGCAATAGAGACAAGTTTTTACCAATAGTGACATTTGGCCCCACATCAGATGTGTTACTATGGATGCATGAGGTTCTATTCTCCTCCCTATAGAATTCAAAAGTGGAAGTATTTAGTGAAGGTTCTATACGAGATGTGCTTTGAAAGAAAGAGGTAACAACCACCTCAGTAAAAATTGGAATCTCAAAAGGTTTCGTTGAAGAATGAGAAACAGTAGAAAAGTATGGACTTGATAGAATTGGTGTGGATATAAAGATTTCAGAAACAATGGATGGAGTGGGAGGGGTTTGGGAAAGGTTAAGAAAAGGATCATTAACCACCTGACTATAAAATTTTGCTCCAGTCTCCAAATGAAAAGAGACAATGGGAGTATGAATTGGATCCAAATAGATATTGATTGCACTTAATGTTCTTAGAATTGACTTCATTATTGAGAGCAGATTCCTTTTCATTTTGATCAAGACTTGTAGTATTTTCACTTGAGTCACTTTCAATAATAAGTTGACACCTTGCCCTCTTATGCTTCTTAGATTTCTTGGACACGAGAGTTTTCCCATTTCTCTTAGAACGTTTGACTTTCTTCCTTGGAATTTTTTCTTCATGAATTTCTTCTTTCGAACCACCACCTCCAGTGGAAACTAAAATTGCCAAGTATTCCATAATGATATGATGATCAGTAGGAACCCTAGATAAGATAGCTTGCAAAATGGAACCCACAATTAGAAAATTCTTTGGATCAGAAGTAACAAATGTCGTTGTCTGCATCTTGAGAATATTAACAATTACAATATCCCTCATTTCTAGAATATGATAATGACGCATAACATTCCTCACAACAATGGACCAAAACCAAGCACATGAGATTTTAGTATCCTTTTTTTTTAAAAAAAAAAATACTTTCAACAAATTGATCCCATAATATGGATCCGAAATCAATCTTTTCCCCAGAATAAATTCCATATAGAAAAGCATGGAATAATCAACTATAATTATTAGAGCCAGTTGAGCACTCATAGAAGCATCTGAACAAGATTGTAAACAACACATTCCAAATGCGAGGAAGTGAAGATTTCTTAAATTGAGAAAGAACTTATAAGTTAGAGATGTACCCCATTTGATTATAAACCTGAATGATAGCTAATGTAGAGATTTTGTCTGGAGCAATCAAATCTTTAACAGCTGAAAGCCCTAACAACTTGCAGCAATTGGACTTAGAAATCGATGTCTTCACACCTTGAAGTTAAAACTTCGTAACATCCATTTGCTTATTGTAACATGTAGTAGAGAATTCCAATGATAGTTGAGAAATCGGAATGCCTTCATCTAAGAACGGAGCTTTCTTCAAGACAGAGTGATCCAAACAAATAATCAAAGGTTGAAACAGTGGAGAATACTTTTTTGGATGAAGAAAATCCACCATATTCTGATTGAACTTGATGTTCAGCATTGAAGTGGATGAGGATTGGTCCATAAAAGATATACAGTCAAAACAAGGCATGAGAGTGTTGCAAAAAATTTGTCTGAGAATGATTACGTTTTTAGGGTTGTTATGCGTAGAAAAAAAAGATGATGAATAGTTAGGGTTCTTAACTAATGAAATACTAGTGGGATTTAAATCTGAGCCGTTTATTTGGATTGGAAAGAGAAAACCCACCTCCATACATTAAATATGTTATGTCTATGATGTCATCAAAAGGAATCACACTAATCATTCCAAATATATTGAACCAATAAGACATTGCCACCTCAACAAATTTCTTTAACAAACTAGAACTGCTGTTTATGGAGCAATATAGTGTCAGAACCTTTAGGTACATGCTAAAAGAAACATGCCTCTTTGATTTTCAACAGTATCGCAATTACTGATTTACCCTTCTCAATTGAGATCTTTACCATGAAATAGAACCCAAAGTATTGAGAAATTAGAGATTTCAGTGCAAAAGTGTTCCAAATGAAAATATAGAAGCAAATTTTTTTTGGATAAGTCGTGATATCAAATAATCTTTGATATAAAAGCAATTAGATCCCGAGCACAAATTCTCTTCCTTCAATAGTTAAGAGAGACTAAGAAGTGTTTGTGTGGTTTCCCATTAAATTACGATCGTCAACTTGTGAAGAAGTTACGAAAAGCATCTTTTCATAGGTTTAATGGGTAGGCACATTTCTGATCATAGAAGCAACTTAACATAAGTGTTAAAATACAAAAGGAAAATTTTGATTGACCAGTGTAGCCAAGATTAAGTTCAGCAAGAATGTTATAGTGATAGTAAAGTAACATCGAGATAAGAAAAATGTTCAGACGAAAATCTCATTATTTAAAAAAAAACAATTAGATCTGATTGGGAAGAGATTAATTTGGAATCAATCAATCTCATTAAGATCTCGCAAACAAAAATCAAGAGATTTTGAACATAAAAAAAGATGACACTGCAAAATATAAGAATTTTAACAGCCAATTCCTTCGTTTCTGTCTAGAACAAAAATGTACACCATCAATTCATTTAAGGAAAGGATTGTAGTGTTTCACCAGGATCATGGTAATAATGACCAAGAGATCATAAACACATAACTTTTGCAAACCTACATTCTAGTTGTCTCAGACTAGAGATGTCATGGGATATGCATCATAGGGTGTGCATTGTAAGAATTAAAAGATCGGAAAAGAAGAACGAGTTTTTCACATTCTCAAGTTAACAATGAGAATGATCATATAAACTATTTTTGAGAAACCTAACTCTGAGTTGGTATACACTCGTAAGATCAAGCGTTAATCAGAAATTGTTGGTGTAATATCCGTCAATTCATTATGGTTTAGAAAGGAATCCTATGTATGGATTTGTTTATATCCAAGACCTCATCAGTTTCAAGATTGGTGAAAGGAAAGATAGTACCTTTGCTATGAAATATTGACCAAGCAGAAAACTCAAATCTCCGAAATTGAGTAGAGATAGGTAGCTCGATGATTTTTTGTTAATACGGCCAATTGAGAATAAATCCTAAAGACAGGAAATTTCATTAAGGCCTTTTCACAAACAAAGAATCATTGAGACTTTAGACAACATGTTGCAGCATGCTTCTAGGGACACCTAATTATTACGAACAAGAATAATAATTGATCCCCAAAAAATAGACATGCCAACAAAAAAATCTTTTTGGAGTTTTGTATATTTTTGAAAAACTAAAGACAAAAATAAAATCTTTTTTGAGTTTTGAATGATTTTGAAAAAGTAAAGACAAAAATAAAATCTTTTTGGAGTTTTAACTGATTTTGAAAAACTAAAAAAAATCTTTTTGGATTTTTGAATCAGAAAGAAAAAGTAAAAAAAACCTAGAGCACCAGTTTGTGAAAGATCACATCTTCTCACATCTAAGTAGGAGAAAACCCCGAATTATGAAGGGTTGCGAAGTTTGTAACACGTCACAGGTAAACAGTGATTTGTTTGTAACTTCAAACATTAGATTTCGGAACCAATTCTGATTCCATGATTCCAAGTCCACGCATAATTCTATAAGCTTATTTATAGTAAAGCTTTCGTGAAAATATATGCCAATTGATCTTCTAATTGTACAAAATGCACTTCAACGTTTCCATCTTGAACATGATCTTTTATAAAATGATATTGTAACGCGATGTGCTTTGTCTCTGAATGTTGAACAGGGTTATGAGAAATGGTGTAACGCCCGTAGATCCGTGCTAGTCAATTAGAGATGTTAAGCGTCAAAAAATGAATTTTTGATGGAAGATTATTTTGAAGGAATAATCTTAATTAACTTATAGTATATGTTACAAGGTTTCCGTGTATATAAAGAACGCCGAAATCTGAGTTATAACGAAGAAGTTATGACATGTCGAAGTTTCGCGACAGAACCGGCACGACACAGCGCGACGTAAAAAGTGAATTTACGTTAGAGCGATATTTAGCCTTAGAATCTAAATGAAAGTCGTAGAATACATTAAACCATGAGCGTGCATAAAAAGAACGTCCAAATCTGACTTCGTATGAGGAAATTATGATTTTTCTAAGTTTCGACTTAGCGGTATGCAGCCCGAATACTCGATTTGAGATCGAGCGGTTTTTAGCCAAAACAATCTAAATGAGAATCGAAGGTCTCATTAATAGGAGTAAAACGATAAAAAGAGAGGCGAAAACGGACGTCGGATAAAGAAGTTATGATTTTATAACGGAGTTTTCCTGTCCCGGCCTACTAAAAATAAATAAAATAAATTCAAAATTAGCCGACGGAGTCTAAACAAACGTTGTAGAGCGTAGTCTCACCTACGCGGGGATATAAAGAATGTCGAAAACGGAGTTCGTATGAGGAAGATATGAATTTTTGAAGTTTATTAAATATTTTCGATATTTAATTTAAATATAAATTCGATATTATCCGAAGGGGGGGAGTCAGCGTTCTTATCCCCGTTACGCCCAGTGTAATTTAGAATTACACCCAGTGTAATTCGTGTTCCAGCCCCCTATAAAAGGGTGTCGAGGGCAACCGACTTCTTTGCTCATTTCTTCCCGTTTTCTAGCGTTTTTGCATCGTTTTCGTGCAAGAATTATCCCGAAGCCCCGGTATCATTCCCGAGCCCCGAAGCAAGTCCCGAGGCCCCGAAGATCCCGAGAAGTACTATTCCCGAGCCGAAGCTCTACCCGCGAGGAGTCCGGTTTTTGTAAAGATCTTCCAGATCTGCCGAAGAATACTACATCTACAAGTCGTAGTGCTGTCCGATCATCTTCTAATCAAGTGAGTGTGTGATTACTTTCTTCTACCGCATAATTATTAAGTATTTAGTATACAATACGTGTTATGTGTATATTTTGTTGTTATATGCGTGAATGTATATTCACTTTCTTCTATCTCATAGATCTGATTTATTCTCTATGAAATACGTGTTATGTGGGTATGCCTCATCTGTTATGTGGAATAGGTATTAAATGAGAATGTTATACAGGTTTTGAACTATGAATAAAAATATATATTTTTATCTACTAATATGTTGGGTAGAACATGGGTATATAGTTGATGTGTGATAAACAGATGAGAGGCCTCGATGTTGTTGTTGTTGATCTAGTTATTCAGCGAGTATAGATTAGACCAAGAGGTTAGTTTTAGATCCGGGAGTATGGATCAGGTAAAGAGATAAAACTTGTTATTAGTCCGGGAGTATGGATTAAGACTAAGTTAATTGTCCCTAGTCCGGGAGTATGGATTGGGTACAGTTATTGATCCGGGAGTATGGATCAGATCAGGATTAGGGTATAGTTAATTGTCCTTATTACGGGAGTATGGATTGGGTACAATTATTGATCCGAGAGTATGGATCAGATCAGGAGGTTAGTTTTAGATCCGTGAGTATGGATCAGGTAGTTTTAGATCCGTGAGTATGGATCAGGTGAAAAAGGTTAGTTTTAGATCCGTGAGTAGGGATCAGGTAAAGAGGAAAATTTTAGATACGAGAGTTTAGATCGTGTCGTTGTGAGGATCGATGGGGTGGGATAAGAGTTGCCTTTATATGGTGAAATTGTACAAGTTTGAATGTTCTATATTTATAAATATATGATATAACATTGTGGGATGAAAACCCTATATGCTCACCAGGCTCCCAAGCCTGACCCACTCAGTTTTCTTTGTATCACAGGTATTAATACGAAGACATATTTCACAGAGAGATTTAAAGGAGATATAAATCAATTGTGTAATTAAATGTAAGTTCTGTTTATGCTTATATGTCTGTATCGGAACATGACATCCCGAGGTTTTATTATTAAATGAAAATACATTCTCTTTGAGAAATG